TGTCTCTAACAAAACCTAGTCATTATGTTCTGTCACCAATACTTAAATCAGCTTTCTTGATTTGAAGAACTTGACCTTTTTTGATAGTTACAGAACACAAAATGCCAACAAAAGAGATATTGTCTTTTCCAGCTGTTGCCTGTTACCCTGATTGAAAACATTCTTTGTGCAGAACTACTATCAAATACAACCAAGTTCTATTACTAGCCAGAGATCTGCACACAGGAGAATGGAAAGAAAATCAGATTTTAAGAAATCTTGTTAATTTACTACCTAAAATAACTGTCCCTTTCAGCCATGCTAAAAGATATCTTTCTCATAAATGTGACCCTAATTTGTTTCAATCTAGTTTTCAAACATGGACTGTGCACTATTAATGGTTTGATCAGGCCAGTTTACAATTATTCAGATTAAGTAGCATGTCTCCTGTAAACCAAATGCTGTCATAGGAACAGGGTCAAATTGCTGGGTGGAAAGGACTGAAAAGCCAGCTGCAACCCATTCAAAGTGCCAACTATTTGATTTTTTAACATTAAAAAGCTCACTTTCAGCATCCAAAACCAGAAATATCCTGTTAAAAACAAGAAAGATAAAGAGAAATAGATTTTCCCAATGATCCATTTTCCATCAAATGTTAAGGAAAAGTGTATAGTTAACAGCAGGACCCTGAAACTACACTGATATACAGGGGGATCTTGGGGTTCAGGTCCATGGCTTCCAGAAAGTGGCCATGCAAGTAGATAGGGTGGTAAAGAAGGCCTATGGTATGCTTGACTTTATTGGTCGGGGAATTGAGAACAAGAGTCAGGATGTCGTGTTGCAGCTTTATAAGACTTTGGTTAGGCGACACTTAGAGTAACGCATTCAATTCTGGTTACCACATTACAGGAAGGATGTGGAGGCTTTGGAGAGGGTGCCAAAGAGGTTTACCAGGATGCTGCCCAGCTTAGAGGGTAAGAACTTTAAGGAGAAGCTAGAAAAACTTGGGTTGTTTTCTTGGAATAGGGGAGTCTGAAGGGAGATTTGCTAGAAGACTATAAGATTATGAGACACATAGATAGGACTGATTGTCAGAATCTTTTTCCTGAAGTTGAAATGCCTAAAACTAGGGGGCTTGCATTTAAGGTGAGGGGGAAAAGTTCAAAGGAGATGTAAGGGGCAAGTTTTTTTACACAGAGAATGGTAGGAGTGTGGAACGTACGGCCAGGTGTGGTGCTGGAAGCAAACACGATAGGGGCATTTAACAGACTTTTGAAAAGCTCATGAATATGTAAGCAATGAATGAATATGGACTAAGAGCGGGCAGAAGGAATTAGTTTAATTTGGCATCATGTTCAGCACGACACCATGGGTCAACGGGCCTGTTCCTGTGCCGTACAGTTCTATGTTGTATGTTCAATGACAGACAGCCTCTCTTGTCATTGCAATTATAGTGAAGAAGACTGAAAATTGGAAATCACACCCTTGAGCACAACACCTACAATTTTTGTTGGGGGAAGTTACATTTTGCATATGTGTGTTTCACAGAGGCTACACAGCAGCTACCTCCACAAGTATCTAACTTTGGGTGGCCCAGGTGTGTGAAATGCACCTTGCACAAATTGGACTTGGTAACAACAGGTCCAAACATTGTGGATTTGTACAGATAGGCCAGCAATCATATGGTATGTCTTTAGATATGATCCTGGGATACCTTTCAGGGCAGCAAGCTGCTCTTTGGAAGTGAAAAGGCATCCTTTGGGAAAGGTCAAGGCCTGGAATTTGGCAATAATGGAGATATTCTCCATCACTGCAAAGGTGATGAAGGAAGGTAAAAGTCATAAGTCCAGGTGAATGCCACTTTCGTGGGCCAGGAATGTGTGTACTTTACAATTAATTACTTTGCAATTAATGCTCTGAAATTGATTTTCTTTATCTCCGGAATTATCTCAGGTCTTTCTATGGTGGATACTGGGTGAGCTGACATGGCAGGTGGAAGGACAAATGATGGGGCTATTAAGGGCCTTGGGTTCTGAGTGGAGGGGAATAGTTTAGCCTGGAGGGCATTAAAGACCATGGGATTGGGTGGAGGCATGAATGGAAGTGTGGGGCATAGGAACATATGAATGTGAAGAGGTATGAGGAGTAAGGGTTTAGATATTGTGCTGAAGACTAATTTCTGAGCCACTTTCTCTCAGATCAAGTTTGTGACTCTGCGCTCCGAACTAAGAACAAAAATTCAGGCTAGAGTCTTTTCTCGACCAAGCCAACATCTAACATGTACAAAAAATCCATCACACTGTTTAACAGCCTCTGCAATAACCAAACAGAGTGGAGTTTTCATTAGAGCAAGTGGGAATGTGCATTCTCTCCTGGAAACCCAGCAACAACCTGTGCCAACAAAAGTAGATGCATTTGTCAAGACATTGGTTTACAAATTTTAATGAGTGAATGGATGTTTAATTAACTAAATTATGATGCATAAAAGTAAGCTATGTCAGCTTTTCACAACTATCCAGTATTTCCCTCAATTCTACACATTTTTTTGATCAAGCTTTAGAGCATCTCCATAACTCATTCCGGAGTGGACCTGCCAAAGGACATAACTGAGTACTGCGGGAAAGAATGTACCAGTATTCCTCAGTCAACTCCACAAAGCATCTTCTGTACTGTGGAAAACAGTTCAGTGCAGCTTCTTTGACCCCAAGAGCTGAAACTACTCCAAGTTCAGCACCCACAACTGGAAGTAGGCAGACAGGAAATGACAGATTACAACTACTGCTTCATAGCATAAGATAAACATGATTTGCATTACCTTCGTCGTGGAAAAATTATGGTCTGTAATTTTATTAAAACTGTAACTTAAAGTGATTTCCTACAAATTGTTTTCTTCAGCTATTATAAACTATGAACTGCTCCACAACAGAGGCAGTAGAAAAACATCTCACAGTTTGTGCATTGCCCCATTATAAGTCACACATGTTGTTTTGCTCTTGTATTTTACTTATAAATTTAAAAATCAGATAAAGCAGCAGGAAAGATTTTGCTTGTTAGCCGTTGATAATACAGTTGACAAAGAATGCAAGAGAAGGGACCTAGATGGAAATTCTACATGACCTTTAATTATGATGAGCAGTTAAGGACAGTGGCATTAACTAGCAATGTACCCTTCTAACAGCAGTTTTCTGATGGACTTTTCAAATAACAAGCACTTTGAGTGGGTGTGTAAGTTATTTTTGAAGCATAAATTAATTCTAGCAAACTCTGGCAAAAAGGTGCCTGTGACAAATCATAGTAAAGACAAAGCTCAAACCATTGTCTACACAATTTGGAAGATAGAAATTCAAATAGCATCTCAGTACTTTCTCCCAGCAGAACAGTTGGAGAAACCAAAATCAATTACATTTGTATATTGTATTTTTAACATAGACAAAAAGTCGCAAAGCATTTCATAGAGGTATTAAAACAAAAGTGACTAAAAGTTTGTTGAAATTAATACAGTTTTTAGGAGGGTCTTAAAGTTGAGTTTGAGGTGGAAGATCTGCATAAGTCAAGACCTCAATGATGTGAAGTCATGGATCTTGGCTCCTCATTTCATGTTTTGGCAAATATATTTGACAAAATAAATCTTGTTTTACTTTTAGATTAAACAGAAAATTTCTATGCAGACCAAATTGGCCAAAAGAGTCCAAACTCCTAAACTCACTAATGTCACTCTGTTGAGAGTTTCAAAATAAGTAATTTAAGCATGACCCATTTACTGGTGGCTTTAATGAGTTTAATTATTTCCCTTAGAGCTTTCATCAAATGTGTAGAAGCATATTTCTGAAATCCTGACTTTAGTCATTATAATGACGTCAGTCAGCTGGACCTCATAGAATATGAGCTCCCTGATTGGGACTGTTAATCTAGTCCAATCAGGGAGCCCTGGCTGACAGATAATAAAAAAACGGGAGTAACAGGGATACTTACACTCTGGTAGCTGACACTAAGTGAAGCAGTGCTAAAGTTAAGCATTGTTCAGATGTAAATAAAGTGTGACTTTGGTGACGGGATACCAATCCCTGTGGAGTTATTTTGCTGATCATAGAGTGTTTACTTTTAGGAATGATAACAAATTAAAACAAAATGCAGAAGTTTGCTTTAGACCAACTGGACCAAACTCACCAAAATTAAAAATGAGGAAGTTCAGTTTTAATGGTTGTGCTGCTCCTTCGCTTTCAATTTATGTACAAACATGTTGCACAAATGCAGCAGAGCGAAAATTCAGAGGAAGACATATTTGATTAGATATAATAATCTAAAAAAGTCATTAGCAAAATATCTGCTTCAGTTTATATTTTTGGTGAAGTCACGTTCTTAATAAGGAAAAAGATATAAGTGATAACGGATAGAATATTTTCCCATTTTTAGCCTTTAAGAATTTGCATTGAGCACCCCCAAGTTAGACACTGTACTATCCATAACAATTTACTGCAGTCTAGTTTCAGAAAAAAAACTCCTTATTGCATCAGAGTGAAATTTACTCTATCCAATTACATGTCCCATTAACAGTGCAGCATTAAAGTACATTATTTTTAACAAATTGATTTATGGATTTGGGTGAAACATGATCATTAACAGATCAAACAACTCAGCAGCTGTATTAACATATCAGGACAATCACCCAAACGTGTACAAATTCATTTAAAATATTGCAAAATAAAACTGGATCAAGACTGACAGGCTGGACCCTTATAGTCAACAAGGTGGAAGTTTACATTTCATCAGTCACTACTGTATTCATGTCAAAATCTCATGAATGCACAACAGCAGCTGCAGGTAACTCATAAACAAAAACAGAAGTTGCTGGAAAAGCTCAGCAGGTCTGGCAGCATCTGTGAAGAAAAAATAAGAGTTAACACTTCGGGTCCGGTGACCATTGCTCAGAACCCGGTAACTCATATCCTATTTATGAGTAAATACTTGAAAATATATATGTATATAAAATAGCATTACTTTAGTGAAAATAATATTCTTACACTGCTTTCATGTTGTTCTCTGGAAGAAGCGGAATTTCTAAAACCTTGGTATTTCCACAAATTTTCTCATAGCTGGTGGTTGAGACTGTCTTGCCAGTGATGCGGTGGACTTGATAGAAGGCATGTGGTCTTAGTAGCCGCTCATCTGCTGTTCCAATAAATATGTGCAGGCTTAAAGGCTTGTTTTCCATGTAGCCATGGAGCTGGCAAAAGACAAGACAAGGCTTATATTAAATCCATTTAGGACGCTTCACGTGAAGGTAAAGATAGGCTATGATAGTTTGGAATTGTAGGTTAATAAGCACTCCTAAGCTTGTTATTGCTTTTAAAACAACAGGGGCTTTTTCAATTAGCTTATATAATCTTTATTTAAACACGAGCACTAACAGAATGTGCACACCATGTTTTTGTATGTCAAAGTCTCCTAAATTACCAATGTGGTACATTTAACAAAATGCTCTTAAATGCTTCAGTACACATTTTTTATGAATACAGTCACTGCTAAACTTCGCAAAACTTTTGAAAGCTGCTGTTGCCTTCAGACTAAAGGCATTGAATATTATTGTCATTCATATTACAGTCTGAATCCCATTGGTGTCATATGGAAGTTGCTTTCAGATACACCCCAACACAAACAGAATTCAGATAAATAGAGTGTCATCAGTCAATGAAACAAACGCTTGCAATTTCCTTCTGATTTGTTTTTATATGTCATTGCAATTTCTTTAGATAGCTCTTGGGCATGAGGTTCAAATTCAACCCTTGAATATTCAGAAGTTCAGCTGCAATCCAGATGGTCAAATCATAATTTGTTATATTTCTGGAATTTCAAAAGTTAATTTAGCAGACTTGAAGGTATTGAGAAAATACAGTAATAAATTAAGGCTCAACTTCAGAGTATCTGCATACTGCTGAAACAAAAGTTACGCCTTCCTTGCTCATTTTGCCCAGCAACATCACAAAGTCATAGAATGTTTCCACAGAGTAACAGGCCAGTCAGCCCATCACACTTGTATCAAGGGATTGTTCCTCAAGAGCCAGAACATTCAGTCCATTCTGTTTCATGTATATCATATCCTTTAAGCGTCTATCAAATTGTCTTTCAAAATAATTTAGCAACTTTGTTTAAACAACAATACAGCAAATTCTAATTAATCTCCATTTAGTTTTATTTCCAATTCACCTGTTTCTTTTTAACCTATAGTTACAATATCTAAAGTAGTCAGAGTCTGCTATTTATTCAATAGTTGTTGTTCTTTTAATCCCTTCTCAAATAGAGGACTATAGGAACGAAGAAGAGCTATAGGCCATTCAGCCCATTGAGCGTGCTCCACCATTCAATATAATCATGGCTGGTCAAATACTTCAATGCCTTTTATTCACACTACCCCATAATCTTTTACACCATTAGGAATCAAAAATGAATCAATGTCTACATTAAATGTTCTCAAGCAAGGGAGACCAAAGCAGGAGACAGTATTCCAGAAGTGGTTTAATCAAGCTACTGCATAATTGAAGCAAGACTTCAAAAATCCTGTACTTCAATCCTCTTGCAATAAAGACTAATATTTCCTTAGCCTTCTTAATAGCTTGTTGCACCTGAATGTTTGCCTTCAGTGACTTGTTGATAAGAAGACCCAAGTCCTTTTGCACATCTACATGTTTCAACCCATGCACATCTTTTCTTCCTACCATCACAGATAATCTCACATTTTTCCATTTTATATTCCATCTGTCATGTTCTTGCACAATCATTAAAGCGGTTAAATCCTCTTGAAAATATTTTACATCTTCCTCACAACACATGTTACTGCTATGCTTTGTATCATTTGCAACTTTAGAAATATTACGTGTTCCTCATGTTAAAACCATTGATATATAGTGAACAGCTGGGGCCCAAGTCTTGATCCTGTGGTACCCCATTAGTCACAGCCTGCCAATGTGAGAATGACCCATTTATTCTTTCTCTCTGACTTCTATCTATTAGCCAATCCTTAATCCATGCTAGTACACTATCTCCAAACCATGTGCTTTAATTTTGCAAACCAACCTTCTGAAAATCCAAATATAATACATTCATTGACTCCTTTTTATCAATTTTGTTAGTAACATCCTCATAAAACTCCGAGTTTATCGCATGCAAGTTTCCACTCACAAAGCCATGCTTACAATGCCCAATCAGATCACTTTTATCCAAGTGTTTATTTATCATGTCCTTAATGGTAGATTCTCGTATTTTCCTATGATTAGTATAAGGCTGGCAGGTCTGTGGTTCCCTGTGTTTTTCTCTTTTTCCTTTCTAAACAGCTGGGTTGCATTTGCAAGTTTCCAATCTGCAGGAATTATTCCAGAATCTGTGGAATTTTGAAAAATGATTTACAATGCATCAATTATCCCTGTGGCCACTTTTTTCAACATCTTTGGATGTAGACTATCAGGTCTTGGGTTTATAAGAGCTTTCAGCTACTTGGATTTATAATTTCTTAAACCTTCCTCAGACATGAAATAATCATTTAGATTTTCTACTGTTTTTCTATTCCCTATTATAAATTCTCCTGACTCTGCTTTTAATCCACATTCGTCTTAGCGAAACATTTCTGCTTAATTTACCAGAAGAAGCTTTTCCAAGCCAGTTTTATGTTTTTGCTCAATTTGTATTTTATTCTTCCTTTCCTTATCAGTTTCTTTGTCCTCCTTTTAAGGTGTAATCTGTCCAGGTTGTACAGGTCCCATCTGCCCCAGAACTGGTCCCAATGCCTCAAAACTTTGATGCCATCACTTCTGCACCAATTCACTAGCCATATATTCAATCAACTGATTCTTCTGTTCTTATGCTGACTAGCAAATGGCACAGGCAGCAATCCTGAGACTGCTACTCTTGATGTCCTATTTTTAATTTCCTTCCTAACTCCTGAATTCCACTTTCAGGACCTTATCCATCTTCCTGTTTATATCGTTAGTAGCAATGTGAACGATGACTTCGGACTGATCTCCCAATCCTTGAAGCCTGTCCAAGACATTCTTAACCCTGGCACCAGGAAGGCAACTCATCATCCAGAAATCACATTTCATGTTGTAGAAACACCTGTCTGACCGCTAGTACTTTTGCCTTTCCATTATTCTTCCCTCTCCCTCCCCTTCCCCTATATTCCCATTTAGCTGAAATGGACTGGATGGTCATTGCTGCTAAGTTGATGTGAAATTGCCAATTCTGAGATGCCCTGACTTTGCTGAGGGCAGTGGGCTTTCACTGTACCAGTCGCAGTGCTTGCTGCACAACTAAAGCTAGGCACTTTGGATTCAACCACATTGCTGAGCAACTGAAGTCACATGTAGGCCAAACTTGATTAAGACAGCCAGGAAATCTTACTGCATATAAGAGTAGCAGATAAAAATAAATGTGGCTTTTTTGCAAATTGTAAACCACACTGCTAAATAATTCAGGCAACACTCATATATTGCTATCAATATTCAGAAAAGCCAGAAATATAAGATTTGGATTGGTATTACCTATTGCTTGGACACTATGGCTGCTGATTAAGGCTCAAAATGGTACTCAATGTGTGCACTTCTGCTACAAATCAGACCAACCTGCTCCAGACATGGGTCAAGGACATCTGTTGTTTGGCCTTTGCTATGATGATGTCTGGTGCCATTCAAAACAGAAGTGAGCATACATGCATTGCATGCCATTTTTGTTCCGAATCTGCATCTTTAGTACTGAAACGACACACACTATCAATCCCAATTTCATATCCATGGCATTACTGAATGCTGGTAGCAAAATGTGACTGTTGCCTGGATAATGTAATATTGTGGTTTGAACAATTTGCAAGAAAAGCCACATTTATTCTTATCTATCACTGTTATATGCTGTTCCTCCCAAATGAAGCTCAAGAAATGGCAAGCAATGAATTTAAGATGTTTTTAAGAACTGGGTTAAAATATCACATGTTGCATGCCTCTTGACTGATTACACTGTATCATAAGGAGTTCTGCAGGAATGTGGAAAAATGAGATGAAAGATGCAGTGTTCTTTGTTTTTCTCAAGTTTAAAGTCTGAACAACGTGAATATTGTTATTTCCAATGACAAGAAAATAAAGTATAAATTTTCTTGATTTAGAAGTTTAATAATTATCACATTAAAGTAAGATTCAATATTGTTGTTCATAATATCACATCAGACTATACAGATTTTTTGCTAACTCTTTTCCAATACTTCAATAGATCTTCAAATTTAACAAAGTTAATCATCCACTGTTATTGTCTACGTTGAAAGTATTACTATATCATAAAAATAACTATATTTGATAAATCTCTTTCAACTATATAATCCATCTACCAAAAGCTTCTGGGAGTTAGCACAGCTGGAGGAGGGATGAAGAGATGGACATACTAGAGTGACAAAACATACTAACCACCAGAATATACAAAGTTGACATGCGAACTGCAGTAACCTGCAGGTTTGTCATTCGAGACTGGTGTTAGTACAGTAATTCCTCAATCAAACATTTTCTGTTGTGCAGTGACTACCAATGTACCAAGCATTCTTTATTAAGTCATTATTTATCTAATAAAGACAAGCAATTTTCACCAAGAGTTGATATAAAATTCCCTTTTTAGAACAGCCCCTTCAGCATAATTGATTTAGGTACATCTGCAGAAAAATGGTAGTGTGAAGCATTCTGTTCATACTCTCTGGAAACCCAACAATAGAATTTGTCAAACTGTAGTGTTAAAATGAAATCTTTCTTATAACATGTATAACTGAATATTTCAGTTTCTTTAGTATGCAAATGTTGGTGTGAAAGTAAATTACATAAGAATGAATTTTTTTTCTGAAATAAAGTTGGTGTGAAATAAAATATATGAAATAAAAATGAAATAAAATAAAATCAGAGTTAACATTTCAAGTCCATTGACCCTTCCTCAGAACTCAATAATCTAAGTACCTCCCTCCCCTCATAAAAGGGTTCATTTCCACTCGAGAGGGGAGGGAGGTACTTAGATTATTGAGTTCTGAGGAAGGGTCACTGGACTTGAAATGTTAACTCTGATTTCTCTCCACAGATGCTGCCAGACCTGTTGAGATTTTCTATCAATTTCTGTTTTTGTTTATGATTTTGATTGTGATGGATAATAGGCCCTAAGCGATAATTCATCACCAGTGCCAATGATTTTTAGACTTCTCATATGGTTCTC